ATTTTTATATTAAAAAATGTATATTTCATATGTTGATAGCCTAGCTAAGGCTAGTTTAAAGGAGTATCTGTACTTGTCAGAGTTTGAATCTGCCCTCATAGTCTACTCCCCTTTTTTTGTATGGATTCCCTTAGTATAAAGCTCTCTAGAAACTCTATGTAGTTTGGTGCTGTTTGGGCTTTTAGCCCTTTTTTTTAGCAAAAAAATAAAAATAAAAATGTATATTTCATAAAACATAATTCACTATGAAGTTCATAAAACATAATTTTATATATTTTATTTTTTTGAGTAATAATATTAATTCGTAATATAAATTGTTCATAAATATTTATTATATTGCAAAAAAAAAAAAGTGTTAATCGATATGAGAAGATCTCAATTAATTTACATTTCGCAACACAAAACTAATTCAATCATACAATACTACTTTGGTCACAACACCAAAAAGATGTATATGTTTATTGAATTAGTAATAGCTCTAAAAAGTTAGCATATGCATTTTCTAAGAAGTATATGGAGTCGCAAAGCAAAAAGGTTGTAAAATTGAAGCGTGAGAATGGTAGGGAAGGAAACATTAACGTTGAGTTTTCGCTCTTTTGCTAAGAAGGTGGAACTACCTGCCTTCAATGGTATTGACCCTGTTGATAAATCTATATTTTACTAGTATTTTACCTCAGTTTTTAATACATTTGGTATAGAAAATATGATTGAGAAAGCTGAAAAACTCATAAAAATGACAAAATATTCAATTTCTTTCTAAATAGTTTAGTTTTTTAGATTTTGTAAATTTCCTGTATAAAAATTACTGATTAGAACATATTTTGTAGGAAATTCTGAGCTGAGATCATAAGGCTGAAAGATTAAGAGAAAGATAGAAGAAAAGTAGCAATTTTTGAGACAAAGAGCAAGGGATAATGAAGCTAAATGTTGGGCGTTATCATTATTTTTGAGGAAAGTGATCATTCCAGAGCCTAAGCTCAGAGGCTAACCTGTGCGTTAACACTTTTTTTAACAATAGTAACCACGCCCATGAAGATAGACTTTGCGTTATTACTATTTCTAATAAAAGTGATTGTTCTAGAGCTAAGGTAAGAGGAACAAGTCATGCATGATCACCATTATCAAGTAAAGTGATCATGTGCAAGTTTGGATAGAAGCAATAAATTGCACATGAACACTATTTTTGAGTAAAGTGATCATGCACATGATCCAAAGGTAAAACAAGCTACGCGTTATCACTATTTCAAATAATAGTGATCGTTCCAGAGAGAAACAGGCTGCGCGTGACTCCTATTGTCTATAAACACGCGCATGTTACTTGAGGCAATCCATCTCTGCATTGCTACTATTATAAACAAAAGTGATTGTTCTAGTCACGAAGGTTACCAGAAAGGCTTGTGCGTGGTTACTTTATTTTATAAAAGTAATCACGCCAAAAAGGCAAAAAATTCCATAAATATGAATTAGCTCAGAATTTTTGCACCTTCTGTTCATTTTTCATTTTCATTTCATTTTCATTTCATTTTCTTGTCTTGAGAGAGTATGAGAAAGAGATTGGGGATGAACACCAAGCTTCACATCTTGAGGAATCATATTGAAGATTGGATTGAAGATGATTCTTTGCTCATCTCCTTCTTCTCTTTCTTTCTCTTTTCACTTTGTAATGACTGTCTAAACTCTTTGTAGTTAGGGATTTATGGATGTGAAATAAAAGTGTTGACTTGATTTTGGATTTGAACTTTGAGTATTTGATTGGATTGAGTAATTCTGTTAATAAAGTACTTGTTGGATGGAAATTTAATTTACAAAACACAAAGAAACTTTTATCAATGAAAGTTGAATTTGTTTCTCAGATTTGAATTAACTACAAAGATTATTGATTTCTTAGGGATAAGTCATCTTAATCTTGCAATCTTGTGGTTTCTAACTCTTAATACAACATTTAATTGAATCAGATCTAAGGAATTAGGGTGGTTAAATTGAATGTTAGGGTCATTGAGTTAAGGAATTAACTTTTGACTAATAATTTGTGAAACTGATTGTCAATCAATTCAAATGCTTGAATGTTCAGAACTTGATTGAGTTAATACTTAAGTTTTGGTGAAGTAAACTCCTAACTATGCTTCATACATATGTTTTAATCCAAAATTCATAACTCTAGTTCTGTTATTTTTTTTTTGAATTCTGCACTTATTGGTTTGTTTCTAAATGTTACAAACTCCAATTGAATTGTATTAGACTCAATTAGTTGTTGAATTGTGAAGTGATACTTAAGAAAACTATTCCCTGAGGATGATACTTGGGACTCAAACTTGATTCCAAGATTTTATAACTTACTACAACTAAACTAGTATACTTGCTAGTTGATTTCATTTTTAGTGCAACTGTGGAGAAAGTGACAAGTTTTTGGCGCCGTTGTCGGGTGTTGTTACAATTCTAAACACTTGCAAGTGCATTAGGAATTGTAGCAAGTAATGAATAATTTTTAAGATCAGAATATCGTCTCTACAGGGAATTAGGAAATCAAGTACCACTTCATAGAACAACAACCAGTTGAGCTAAACAATTTTGGAAGAGTTGTATCATTCAGAAAGTAAGAATTAAAAACAATTAAAAGGTAAGAAACTTGCAGCAAAAACAGAGTATGACAGTTATGTTGAGATGAGACAAGAATGAAAGATAGTTAGGAATTTATTTCACAAAAATATCAATATTAATTCAATTATGCCTCTGAACATTCAAGTAATTGGTTAATTGACAATCAATTTCTCTTATTAATAGTCAAAGTTTAATCCCTAAATCATTGACCCTAACAAGCAACTAAACCATCCTAATCCTTTAGGTGAAGTTTAATTTTGAGTTGCATTAAATCTTAGAACCTTAGGATTGCAGAATTAGGTTCCCTTATCCCTAAGAAATCCCTAATTTTGGTTGCTAATTCAGATTAGAGAAGCAAACCCAACTTCCATTGGCAAATGTTCCTTTTTGATTAATCATGTGAATTCCCATTCAAAGATTGCAATAACAGCAGAATTAGCAACTCAATTAATCCAAGAACTCAAATTTCAAAAGCAAAAGTCAAATCAATACATCAATTCAAGGTCCATAAACTCCTAACTACGAAGAATTAAGCAAACATTGTAACAGAGAAATATAAAGAAGGAGAAGAAGAGAAGAATTGCAGAGAAGTCATCTCCACGAGCTCCAATCCAATGCCTCTTCTTGGAGCTTCGAAATTTGACCCCAATCCTCTCTCTCTCACTCTCTCAATGAGAATCTAACAAAAAAAATAGAAAATGAACAAAAGACCATGAGTTCTGAGCTTAAAACAGGTATTTATAGAAATTCCAATTCTGTGCGTTATCACTCTTGCTGATAAGAGTGGCCACGTAGAGGCTCATGTGGTTTCTGGAAACTGGAACTATCACTTTCACTGCTAGGAGTTGCAACTCAGGAAGTCGAGTGGTTGCGCATGATCACTTTCGAGAGCAAGAGTGACCACGCACAATTTGCCTTGATACACTCCTCTCTGGAACATCTACTTTCGCTGGTAAAAGTGGTAACACAGAGCTTGCTGAAATTTTGCCTTCTCTGGAGCACTTATTTTCGCCAGCAAGAGTGTTAACGCAGAACTTGTTCTTCTGAGTAACTCTCTGAAACACTCACTTTCGCTGGTAAGAGTGACCACACCCAGTGTGTATTCCTCTTTGATGTCTGGAGTGATCACTTTCACTGACAATAATAATCATGCCGAGCTTGCATTCCATTGTTCTTGTGTTTTGGAGTCCAGAATTGCTATTCTTCCTCTTCCTTTCCATTAATCCTTCATTTCCATGACTTTTTCTCAGGTTATTCCTACAAAAACAAGATTAATTTTTTAAGATCTAAGCAGAAATTCCACAAATGCTAAAATAACTACATATTAAAAGAAAACTTTCAATCATTCTATTTTTCTGAATTTTTCTGCTTTTCTTATATATTTTCCTTATCAAATGGGTTAGAAATACACTAAAATATTAGTAAAAATATGGATTCATCACCGGGGAATAGTTATTTTCAAGATTATTAGTAAAAAGAAGATAACTAGATTGAGCAACTGTTTTCTTATTTTTTCTGCAATATCAGAATTATATTTGGAATTTTTGTTTTACATTCAAATTAGTGTTCAATTCTGTAATTTCATAGTTTTAATTTCTTATAGATTTTTGTACATTCTTAGGAAGTTTCGTTGCTTGCATATTAAAATAGTACAGTTCTGTATTTGTGTCTACTTCTATAATTGTGTACAAATAATCTAAAAGTTCTTTTCTGTTACATAGTTTGGCTGATAATAATTCTGCATTGCTATATTGTAGATTTTTCAGTCTTTAATTCTTCTTACTTTTATCTCATGTTGGTTGTATATTCATGGCAAAAATAAAAATAAGGCTACTCTTGTCTTTGATCTTGATATAGATAAAACTTTAAGAAGATTAAGAAAAGAGGCTAGATCAGAAGGTTCTTTAGGAAGAGATAGTGAACTAGAAGCTACACCTTCTTCAAAAAAATTCAGAGATTTTCAGTACACTCCCCTTTCATAGAAAACACCTCTAGAACAAACATCTCCCGAAATTAAAATGGCAGAACAAAATAGAATGAGAAAATTAGGAGATCATGCAATACCAAATATGTAGGGCTATAATTCTTCAATAGTTATACCTATTATTCAAGCTAATCATTTTGAAATCAAACTAGTCTTGCTCCACTTAGTACAGCAGGACCAATTTTCTGGTGGAATTTCTAATGATCCTAACTTGCATGTCTCCAATTTTCTACAGTTATGTGACATAATAAGGATGAAAGGAGTAACTGAAGATGCTATAAGATTAAGGTTGTTTCCATTCTTTTTGAGAGATAAGGCCAAGTGTTGACTGCAATCACAACCTCAAGGGAGTATCACCACATGGTAGATCTTTGTGAATAAATTCTTAACTAAGTATTTTTCTCCATCAAAGGCTGCCAAGCTGAGAGGAGAAATCACATCTTTTGTACAATAGGAAGGAGAATCACTATATGAAGCTTGGGAAAGGTACAAAAAGCTTTTAAGAAGATGTCCACACCACTGTATTCCAGAGTGGATGCAGCTAGAATTCTTCTACAATGGGATAAATGCAGTAACTAGAACCATGGTAGATGTAGCTGCAGGAGGTTCTTTGAACACTAAATCTTTAGAAGAGACTCAAAGGATTATTGAGATGATGACTTCTTCTATGTATCAGAATTCTAACTCAAGACATTTAGGAAGAAATGGTGGTTATGAAGCTAAAACTATAGAGACTTTTCTTGCACAAAATTAGCTGCAAAATCAATTATTTTCTGAGCAAATTATAGCTCTAACTCAACAGACCAGCAGTTTACAAGCTGGAAATATTGCAAACTTTCAGCTGATATGTAATTTTTGTGGAGGAAACTATGCTAATGGTGCAAGTGATGTACCTATATTAGCCTTTTCCTCAACAACCTTTCCCTCCTGGTTTTCAATTTCCAACTAACAGAAATCAACAATTTTACAAATGGAATCCTCGAAACTCTGCTGTGAAAAATAGTATCTTATCTATTCCTTTTTCAAGTGCAGGAACTTCATAACAACAACAAATTTTTCAAGGCAATTCTTTTGCTTAACCTTAAAGAACTCAGAATTATTCAAAACCTATGATTGAGAGAATGAATAAGATGGATGAAACTATGCTGCTGTTTATGAAGGTCACCCAAACTAGCCTTAAAAATCAAGAAGCTTCTATGAAGAAGCTGGAAACTTAGATTGGGCAGTTAGTTGAATAGTTAGCAAATAAAGATGAGGGGAGATTCCCTAGTAACACAGTGATTAATCCTAAAGAGCAGTGCCAAGCTATAACAACAAGAAGTGGAGCTGTGGTAGCTAGCCCAAAGTTTGCAGAAACGAGAGTTAACAATTTAGTAGAGGAAGGAAGAGTAGAGAAAAATTTGCTGCAAGAGAATTTTAAATTGTTAAAAAAAGAACATTCAGAAAATGAAACTCCTATTAATTTTGAGAGAAAAACAAAAAAAACAGCTTTTTGAGGAAGCTTGTAGACCAATTGATCCAGAAAAATGCAAAAGGCTACCTTATCCTCAAAAAGTACAAAATCCTAAACAAGATGAGCAATTTGAGAGATTTTTAAATGTATTCAAGAAGCTACAGATTAATATCCTTTTTGCGGAAGCATTGGAACAAATGCCATCTTATGCCAAGTTCATGGAAGAGCTACTATCTAAGAAAAGGAAGTTGGAACATGACAAGACAGTACCATTAACAAAAGAATGCAGTGCTATTCTTAATAGAAAACTTCCTCAAAAACTCAAGGATCCAGGATCTTTCAACATCCCTTGTGAAATTGAAAAATGTACTGTGAGAAAAGCTTTATGTGATCTAGGAGCAAGCATTAATTTCATGCCCCTAGATATCATGAAGAAGTTGGGAATAGAAGAAGTAAAATGAACCAACATTACACTACAGTTAGCTAATAGATCTTATACATATCCATATGGAGTTGCAGAAGACTTGTTGGTTAAGGTTGACAAATTTATTTTTGTTGCAGATTTTGTCATTTTAGATATGGAAGTGGATGCAAACATACCATTAATCCTGGGCAGACCATCTTTTGCAACTGGAAGAGCTCTTATTGATGTGTAAAAGGGAGAGCTCATGCTTAGAGTGCATGACGAAAATGTGATATTTAATTTTTTGAAGCACTCAAGTATCCAAGTGATGATAACATGTGTATGAGAGTTGATGTATTGGATTCTCTTGTTAGTCCTTATCATTTTGATAAATTTGATGAAATTTCTATGTTGAGAGAAACTATAGTTGCGGGTAGTTTCCAATCTGTTATGAATAAAGAAGAACATCTCATGGAGTATATGCAGCAATTGGAAGCTCTGCCATCTCTGTCCCCTACAAAAAACCAATAAAAAAAGAACTGAAAGAGAAAGTGGAAGAAGAACACATTCATAAATTGGAACTCAAACAACTACCTTCCCACATGAGATATGCATTTCTGGACCAAAATCATAAAAATCTGGTCATTATTAGCAATGAACTCAAGAAGATGGAGGAGGAAAAGTTATTGAGGATTTTGAGAGCACACAAGTCAGCAATAGGATGAAGTATATCAGATTTGAAAGGCATAAACCCAGCCTTTTGCAAACATAGAATTTTGTTTGAGGAGAATTTTAAACCTACTGTGTAGCCTCAAAGAAGATTGAACCCTTCTATGAAAGAGGTAGTAAGAAAAAAGGTTATGAAATTATTGGATGCTGAAATTATATATCCCATTTCAAACAATAGTTGGGTTATTCCTGTCCAAAAGGTACCTAAAAAAGGGAAAATGACTGTGGTACCAAATGAGAAGAACGAATTGATTCCTACAAGTTATAGGCTGGAGAATGTGAATAAATGATAGGAGATTGAATGAAGTGACTAGAAAAGACCATTTTCCACTACCTTTTGCATATCAAATGTTAGAAAGGTTAGCTGATCATGCATTCTATTGCTTTCTAGATGTATATTCTGGTTATAACCAAATTGCTATGGATCCAATTGACCAAGAAAAAACTGCATTCACTTGTCCATTTGATATATTTGCATATAGAAGTATTCAAAGGTGTATAATTGCTATTTTTTTTTATTTAGTTGAAAAAGTCATTGAAGTATTCATGGATGATTTTTCTGTATTTGGAGATTCATTTGATGATTGCTTATCTAATTTGTCTATTGTTTTGCAGAGGTGTCAAGACACTAATTTGGTGTTGAATTGGAAAAAATGCCACTTTATGGTTCAAGAAGGCATAGTGCTTGGCCATAAAATTTCTGTGAAAAGGATGAAGTTTGACCAAGCTAAAATAGAATTGATTAGTAAATTACCTCCACCTGTGAATGTAAAAGGGATTAGGAGTTTCTTAGGCCATGCAGGATTCTATGGAGGTTCATTAAGGATTTTTCTAAAATTGTTAAACCTCTTAGTGACTTGCTTTTGAAAGATGCAAAATTTATATTTGATGAATCATGTTTGCATGCTTTTTCTACTTTAAAAGAAAAATTGATTTCTGCTCCAATACTTGTGAAGCCTGATTGGACTCTACCCTTTAAGTTGATGTATGATGCAAGTGACAATACAGTAGATGTTGTGTTAGGACAGAAAAAAGATAAAAGGTTACATGTGATAAACTATGCTAATAGGGTTTTGAATTTTGCACAAATTAACTACACAACCACTGAAAAAAACTGCTAACTTTAGTCTTTGCTTTTGATAAGTTCAGATCTTATTTAGTAGGTTCTAAGGTTGTAGTATATAGTAACCATGCTGCCTTAAAATACTTGCTTTCTAAACAGGATGCTAAACCAAGACTGCTAAAATGGATTCTTTTGCTCCAAGAATTTGAATTGGAAATCAAGGACAAGAAAGGGCAGGACAATGGTGTTACAGACCATTTGTCTAGAATACCTTTAGAAACACTAAAATCAGATTGCCTCGACATTAACGAGGAGTTTCTTGATGAAAAACTACTAGCTATGGAGGAATTACCGTAGTTTGTTGATATAGCAAACTTTAAAGCCACTTAGCATATTCCAAAGAGAATGAGTTGGCAGCAAAGAAAGAAATTCCTTCATGACAACAAGTTTTACATTTGGGAAGATCCTTATCTATTCAAAATTAGAGTAGATGGTCTATTGAGAAGATGCATTCCATAAAAAGAGCAAGCTGATATCTTGTTGCTAAGGTCCTACAAGCAGGTTTCTTTTGGCCTACATTGTTTAAAGATGCAAAGTGTAACACCTTAAATTTAATTTCAATAAATAAGAGATTTCGCAAATTTTTGAAATAATAAAACTTTCATTTTTAATCCAAGTTTCATCAAACAGTTGCTACAGGACTTATTCAAATACAACAGTTTTAAAAATAATATCCTAAGTCTTATAGCAGTTCCATTCACCTCTTTTACTGAATTCGGTGCTGATCGCCTTGATTATCTGAAAAATGAGTGTAAGGGTGAGTACTCTATACTACCCAAAAACACACAGTCAGCATAGAGTCTCACCTCCAGCACATTTTCAATACATTAAACAAATATAATCACAGATAGCATTTTCACACAGCTCATGCCAATTTAACACCGATGCACTCACGGCATTGGCAGCATTTCACATCCATAAGTATAATTCATAAACCCGTGCATACACACGCCAGCCACACTCACTGTGGCACTGTGATCACAGATTTACACCATGAATGGTCGCCGGTTACCCCCCACCTCACGGATACCATGTGGGCAGTCACGGGTCGCTCAGCAAAGATAGTGGTCAGAGGTCTAGTCAGGAAGAGAGTGTATGGCCCGTGGTGCACCTGTTCTGCAGTCGGTGTCACTGCCACTCTCTCCTCCCCAAGGTATTTCTACCGTCCTCATCTTTCACACCCCCAATGTATTGCTGAACCATTCACAGCACATTATAACGGCGCGACACGCCTCATTCACATACATTTCATTCACACACATAATAATTATACTCACACACGGCACACAACCCATATTGCATTTAAATACACGGCACTAGGCCCACATTCATTTCACATTACACGGCACATGGCCAACATTCATCTATATTACACGGCCCTAGGGCCCACATTGGTACACAATATTCATTCTATCATGCAACATCTAGCATACAATTCACATTAATCCATTTTGGGTAAACACATAATATTCACATCTCACGGCACATGGCCTTCCTCACAATTGTCAATTAACTTTCATTTTCTGCACATTTTCTACCTTCTAACTCAGCCACAACTCCATATTCAATCAATTACACATCAAAAGAGTATGGTAGAGTCCCCCCTTACCTTGGATTGAAGACCTACACGCTAAATCCACTAAGAAGTGCTCCCCTTCGCAGATTTCATTCTAAACACATGGAGAAACTTCATGAGAACCCAAGGAAACCATGAAAATAAAGAAAGGGGATGAAAAATCGAAACCCTAACCATTAAAACTCACCTGCAAGCGTTCTCCATACGGATTCAACCTTCAATCAAGCTCCCGAACGGCTTT